AAAATTACAGCAGTAAATCCTCGAGTTTTTGGCACAGTAATAGGTAAAAACAATGGAGATGTAATATCCTATATTTATAAATAAAATAATAATTAATTTAATTAATTGTTATATAATTAATATAATTTTAACTTTCCTTGTGAATTGGTATATTCCAAAATGTATAATCTCTACTTAAGTGTGGAAATACACGATCTGCAAGTAATTCCAACGTGGTTTCTATTATTTTTTCCATAGATTTAAAGTATTTTTCATAAAGCCATGCACCCTGTTGTTGAAGTTCTATAATTCGTTCTTGAGATATTTTTTTTAAAACTGATATTAATGATAAAATATCTACTTCTCGTATAAATATAACAGCTCTACACATAAAATATATTTATTATATAATAATAAAAGAGCTAATATATAATTAATTAATTATTATAATATATAATACCTAGTCCAATCAATTATACCATGAAAAGGCATTGTCAAAGAATCAGCTATAATTACAGGTATAGAACCAGCTGCCATGCATTCTAAAAGTGTAGTTTGACCAAGTCTTGCACCTCGTATTACTAAACAGAATGTTGCTGACTAACAATATTAATTTTAATATAATACAAAATTTTATTTGTTTTAATTATAATGATTATTACAATATATTACATACTTGAAGCACATCAGGATATTTATAAACATCTTCTCCTACACATCGAATTGTGTTATTCATAGAATTATAGTGAAAACATGTACCTAATATAAAAATATCTTTTGGTGATATAGATTTAATTTCTAACAAATCTTGTTCAGAAGCAGAATTAATGTTCATTTGAGATGATATGATTAACCATGGTCTAGAATATATAAATATTTATTATTATGAATAATTAAAAGATTATAAAGTTTATTACCTTGTATTATTAAAATTTGATTTAAGACTATTTACAAGAGGACTATATACTGGTAAACTGATATCAAAACCAGATCTATATGTTAATGAAGACATTCCTGCACCTGCAATCATTGCTTTTCCAACAGGTACATCAATAACTGTGTTATAATCAGGTACAGTTCCAGGTATCATATTAAATATCAAATGATTTTCTCCATTATTCCAACTGAAATTTGAATAAATTTCACATAATGAAATTATACTTAATTTTTTCAATATTATATTTATATTTTATATAAATATATAAAACAAAAAGAAACTTACAATGGCAATGATTTCAGAGCTTGTGAAACTTCTTGTAATTTTAATCTATTTTGATTTAATGTATCAATTGAAGGAATGAAAATACATGCTTCATATGGATTTGGTGTGTAAAATTTACTTGAAATAATTGTATTTAAAATTTGATAAAACTCTTTTGTTATATGACTTGTTATAGATCTTTCTAATGAATCTACATATAATTTTGGTGGATAAACATATACTAAAAGCTTATTTCCTTGACTGCCACAACGATAAACATTAAAACAACTGAAGTATGTGCAAGAACTATTTGTGGTATCTGCCATTGCAAAATCTGCATCTATTATTTGTACAGGTAATGAATGTAAATCATTAAGGATAATGGGATTATATACAGAACGCTTTTGTGTACTCCCAAATTTAAAAATATGATATGTCATAATTAATATTATAAATAATGTAAACATTAACAAAAATATTACAAAAACATTATGATAATAATAAGAAATTCTATTCACTTTATGTGACATTCTTGTTGTTAATACCATATTGCTTTTTTTTTATTAAATAAAAAGCAATTTATATTTGTTTAAAAATATATTATACAATACATGTAGAAATATATATATTAATTATAATCATTAATGTAATCATTTTACTTTATATACAAATCATTATAAAAAAAAAGTTGTTACGACATTAAATATTGTCTAATATAATTACATTAATAAACTAAGATGTTATATATATGAAGAATATATTAATAATTACTTAATTTTAATTTTCAAGTAATTCAATTTTTTTCTTAATTTCTTCTATTAATAAAATAATACTTTTATTATTTATTTTTTTCTTATTTATATTTAAATAAAATTATTCATGTTGATTTCAGTTATTTTTGAGGTTATATTCCAAAACCACTTGCACTTATGTTCAGTGTAACTATAATAATCATTTTTTTAATAAACTTATAAATATATATATATATATATAAATAATTAAAATAGTTTTTTTTGTATAATTGTATCATTAATAAGTATTAAATATAGAAATGAATTAAATTTTATTATAAATATGTATATTATGTAATTATATATTTGTATAAATAATATAATATCGTATAAAATTTAAAAAATATATCAATAATTTTTTCAATATATTATTTTTTTAATATATATAAAATGAATCCTTTAACGTGAGTATTTTTATAAACTTTATTTGTAAATATAAATTTAATTGTTTAATTTATTATTTATTTAATTATAATCATATATGTTTAGAAACGTAAAAAATATACAGAAACTTGGAGAACAAGAATTAGTAGGCGATAGAAAAACATCTTGGCATGATCAATATAAAAATAGTGCTTGGATCTTTATTGGTGGATTACCATATGATTTAACAGAAGGTGATGTAATAACAGTATTTTCTCAGTAAGTATAAAATTCAAAATAATTGATAAATATTTATTTAATAAATATTAATTATTATTTATATATATATAATAATATTATTAAATAATATATTTAATAAGTTATTTAATAATAAATTTATCATTATAGATTTGGAGAAGTTGTAAATATAAATTTAATTAGAGATAAAGATACAGGAAAGCAAAAAGGATATGGATTTTTATGCTATGAAGATCAAAGAAGTACGATATTAGCTGTTGATAATTTTAACGGTACTAAGGTAAAAATATTTTTGAAATAT